TTCATCGGTGCTAGGGGAAATGGTGTCGTTGTTGTTTTATCATCAATGAGCGTCAATTCGGCCATCGCACTGAGATCATCACCATCGTTCGTAAGAAAACCAACAGTTTCGTTATCGATATTATTTGCAGTATAAGTCTTTCCATTGGGGAATTTAATGGTGAATTGACGAACATTCAATGCATATTCAAACATATCATTAAAATTATTTTGTAATTCTTTGGATTCTGTTGAATAACGAAAGAGACCTTGGCGAGTACCAAATGTTCGGATTTGATTAAGAAATGCATCGTTTACTTCACCGAAACCGATTACATGAAATGTAATGGGAGGTGACTGAAAGATAACAAAGAATCAAATTATTTAAAAAATACTAGCACAATGACTTACATTCGTCATTCCACTTAACATCAACTTTAACATCTGAACACTCTTCTGCAATGCTGGTCCATTTGGTTCATTATCTTGCCCATCAGTCATAAATATGAAGGTTATTGGCTTTTTGGCTGATGCATTTTGTAAAAGATAATCTTTTATGGCAGTGAATATGCAGGCAAATGAGGTTCCACCACTAGCTTGGAGATTGTCATTTCGTTCAGATAATGTCTTTAATGTACGTTTCACATCTGTCTGAGTATTGTATGTGAATAGACGGTAATCTTTTTGTGTACGTTGATAGATATCACGTAAGACTTCACAGACATTGTTTATAGGACTACCAGACATTGAGCCACTGACGTCAACACAACAGATGATGTCAAGATCACCGCCAGCAGCAGCAGCAGTAGTGTTATAGGTTTCTTCCGGATGTGAAAGTTTGATTTCCACATAGTTTTGTTGGTTAGAAAGCCGTAATTTCAAATATGTCGCCATAGGTAATTCTTGTTTTCAAAGGCGACAAAGTGAATAAATGGAAATAAAATTTTGCTGTTTAAATACTGCAATTTTGCAACCACATTGTGCAATGACTCAAAGAAAAAAACCGAAAAAAAAGACTCATATAGAAATGGCGAGCTTTGTCTCTGGTATCTTATCAGTGCAAGAAAGAATTTTTTCATATGCGAAACCGTATAGTAATCAATTTTTGGACGCTTCATCCATTGTTATAGGAAAATGATATATTTCATGAAAATGAATCAATTTGTATTAATTATCAATGGTAAAGGTACTGTATGTAGGCCGCATTTATTCACGTGCCGACGAATAAAAATAGTGCTTTATTCTTCACACATTTTTTTTCTTTCCTACTAATGTATCTAAGCATCACTTGCGCACGACCAAAGTGGGTTTTTTACCAAAAAACAATGTCGTCTGATATGACGTTGTCGCGCATTAAAGAACAATGCATAATCGGATCTTGGCACAAACTATATGAATATTCTATCTAATTTCGATTCGGTTATCACCTAGGGGGAAACAACGGACTTCAAGACTTCTTAACACTTCATGAGGGTTCAAGCGACTTCAAGAGAGGGTGTGGGTGTGGGTGTGGGTGTGGGTGTGGGTGTGGGTGTGGATGTGGGTGTGGGTGTGCCTGTGGTCATGCGTATCTTATTTTTAATGTTACTCTCTTCGATCCACACCCACATCCCACACCCACACCCACACCCACACCCACACCCACACCCCCACCCACACCCACACCCACACCCACACCCACACCCACACCCACACCCACACCCACACCCACACCCACACCCACACCCACACNTCTTTCTTTACTGTATTCTAAAGAAATCAACTAGTTCAATCTGTAGTTCCAGCGTTTCTGGACAATGTCGGATAGCTAAGCCAAAATAGCATCGTTTGACTTTGGGGACAATGAGCGATTTAGATCATTTTCAATTGATGTTTTTTAGTGTTGTATCTAAATTTTATCTCCCGGAAGAGTGATTTCAAACTCCAGGAGGGCCCATCCGATCTTCGGAGGAGCACCGCTCCTCACGCTGTATAAGACACGGGTTATGAACCATCCAATATTTAGTTTTCTTAAAAACATAGAGAACCTATTTTGAGACATTGTAATTCTGATGGTCTAAAATCAAATAATTACAAAACACAAAAAATCCTTGTTTTATTACTTTTTAGTATATCAACACTTCGTAAATATGGTGGCTTATTTTTTGCGGATTTATTTCTTAAACTATTTTCTCGTCATCTTCTTCAATCGTTTTATTAATCAACAATATTCTTCTATAACAATATGTAATACTCATTATTATTGTGATATTCTGTTGATTTATTTAAATATCTAAGCGAAAGAGAAGATATTTAAATCGAATATTTGTTTTTTCCTAATATATAAACTTTTGGTATATAACGCATTCGTAATAAAAATTGTTTATCAATATAAAATCCATTAAATCCACGAACAAAATCAATAATTTGTAGATTACGAGATAAATATGGATTTAATCGAATATCTTCATCACTTGTTGATTCAACTAATAAATAATCAAAATGAGATAATTCATCAATAGTTAAATTTTCTGTTTTATTATAACTGTAAAAAAAAAATAAAGATTACAAATATTTAAATAAAGAAAATAACTTACATCCAAGATTTCATTTCAAGAAAACGAGATATTCCATTTTCAGCTGAATAAACATCAATATGAACTGTAGCCGTTGGTTGATCTAAAACAATTCATTTCATTTATCATTTATTTCAAAAAAAAATTTTTTTTATTTTACATTTTCTATATGTATGCAATTTTAATAAAGCATTTGCTCCGGGATAGTTATAATGTGAAGCACTCAATGAAACACTTGTTTGAACAAAATTAATTGTTAATAAACTCAAAACAAATAATTTAAGGATAATTGACCAACGTTTTCTCATTTGATATCTATATATATAACAAATGAAAAACATTAAGAGAAAAAAAAATCTTGAATTATTTACGAACAATGACGAACATGCTTGAGCAATAGGTATATTCAAAATAGGAAACGTATAGATAATAAATCGAAGTTCTTTATGCGGTAAAATTGAATAGATTATTATGAATAAAATATTTGGCAATACAATCGAACGAATATTTTTATTTATAATTAAACCTATTGGTAAAAGAATAAATGTTGCACCAAGTGCTCGTGGTAATGCCGAATAGAAATACCATAAAAAAGGAAATGTCTATAGAAATAAAAGGTTAAGGAAAATATTTCCTACAAAAAAATGATTATAATTTCAATAACCAATGGAATTCATATAGAAAAATTATAATATTCTATTTTAAGAGGTTATGCACTTGGTCGTCGAATTTTTTTTCGTTCGTCTATGTTCGTAAATTTTGTTTTGGTGATCATCCCTTACGCTCATTCGTTCTGAATATTTATCATATATATAACATCTATTCAACTATGAAAGGTACATCATGAATTCCGACCTGATCTTTTCTTAGTTGCTAACTTAACCTAAGAATCTTCTCTTCACGCTGGCTGCAACGACTGAATGCCTACGTTATTCAACCACATGTCCACAAGCTACTGTGTGAAAATCTCAATATCACCAGCCATGGAATGACCGTTAAGAAATCAGTAACGGGTATTTACCTCGGGTCATCCGTTCTATAGTATACTGACTACGTTGTGACATATCTCTGCTTTTGTAGTTAATTAGTGTGTATGAGAAGCTCAAGCAATTGAGCACAAGAATTCTGCGTTAGACCGGTCTTCTGTTCAGAGTTACAGCTAGTATAAGTTTTAGGGAAGATATCAAGCTATTGAATCTGCCGTCAAGCAGCACCCCATACCATAAGATAGCTGAAATGTAAAACTATTCTTCAGAGGTGCAGAATCTGCCGTGATTTTAAAAAATTTTCCCGCACGATGATATCTTCCCCCAGCTATTCTTCTTTCTCTTCCTTAACGTAAGTTAGTAATTAACTTGGCGTATCAATATAATTACTAAGTACAATTAGTATCAATACCAGAGAGATACAGAATCTACCTATGTGTGTCAACATGCGTAGTGAGAAATTTCGACAAATTTTTACTTCGGGAATTCCAATAACGAAATGTCTCTCTTGCGGTTATTTGAGCATAAGTTTTCGTGCATAGTTTCTTCTTCTTTTATTTAATTATACAATTCATTAATTTTTGGAATGAAAACTATTTCTATTAATTAATGATGAATCAAGATTAGTTTCCTATATGATCTTTTTAAAGATTAAATAAACTAATATCTCTTTCGCTCTCTTCGAATATGCTGCTAGTGAAGAGCAGAATTCTTTTTATTTTGATAGGAAGAGAAATTTTGTCATGAAATTATTTTCATTTGGGAAAAACTGTTAGTTTTAGCGACAGTTTCTGCATTTCTGCTCGATACACATAATATTAAAACGTTTATAATATTGCAGGTATCATCTCATAAAAAAACGCTGAAAAGTATATTGATCTATTAATAATTTTCTAATTTCTCTAATACGGACTACCTATCTATAGAATCTCTTCGCTAATAATAGAAAAAAAGGATACACCCCAATGTGAACTTTTATTGAGAATTGTATTAAAATAGAGCACTTCGCCTTCGGGCCATAACCAATGTTGCCAAAACCAACTGTCAACAAGCACACTTAATCCTAAAAAGAATCAAATAATCTATCATTTTCTTAAACATAAAAAAAAAACATTCATTGATTTTACCAATTGCTAAGCTACTTGCAATTAATCCATGAATTAAAGTTTTTTTAAAAGCTAAACGTCGTTTAATAAAAACTTCTTGTAACAAAATTAAACCCAATAAAATAACAAGTTCTGAACGAAAAACAAGTATTGCAAAAGCTGATGTCCATACAAGTGATTTTGCTCGTTTAGAAAGCCAAAATGCTAATGAATGTAAAACTATTTGAAAAAAAAAAACAATTTTTTTTTAATTGGATAATTCATTTAAACAAAATCAAACAATCAAACAAACCAATAACAAGTGCAAATATATTTGGTAATGTTCTTGTTGAATAAAATAACAAATGAAATTGTGTTAATGTTATAATTAACCACCAACGTCTTGTTGATAAATCACAATAACCTTTTAATGATTTATATATATGTGTTAAACCTGATATAACTAGTATACCAAGAATAATTCGAACTAAACTAAGAAATTTTTATTTATAAATCAAAATAAATAAGTTTTAATTTTACCAATATATTGTAAATAAAGAAGATAATCGAATGAAATATTTGAAAAAGGCCAAGTTAATATTGCAATAAATATTGGTCCAAGAAATGTTCGAGGTACGACTAAATAAAAAGAAATAAACAATAATTTATTATTTTCTTGAAAGTTCTTTTTATTTATACCTCCCGGAAATTCTAAATGATCATACTAAAAGAAAAAAAAAACATTAAATATTCATTCTTTTATATAGTAATTCTTACATTTGATATATTAAAACGATGAATAAGAAGATCATGAATAGCTTGTAAATTAAAACTTTCTTCAACTTTTGTATATGGACAAATAAATAAATGAATAAGACAAGCAGTAAAAAGAAGAATGAAAGCAAAACACCAATGCATTTATTCAATCTGAAATTATCACAAAAAAGTAAAAACTATGTTTAAGTCTATTCATGTTTACTTTTGTTTATTCGTAAGAATAGACAAGAAAGAAAAAAAAGCACAGACATTTATTTTATACAAATATTTTATTTTCCAAGTAAATCTTTTGCTTCTTGTTCTTCTTTTAAAAGATCATCTGATACATATTTAGCAAGTAATTCTTGTTTTTTTCGTTCTAATAATGCACGTTCAACCTAAAATATAATATATATTTATTTTGATAAATAGAAATTTCTTAATGAATTCTTACTTCTTTTTGACTAGGAATAGGTACATGTGCAATAAATATATGATCTTTTGATATAACATCAACATCAGTTCGAGATGATTGACCAGCAACATAATCTTCATCGTCGGACTAAACAAGACATTTTTATATTCAATCACAATCTTTCATCGAAATATATAGATTATTATACTAAGTGAGGTACGCATCTCAAAAACGATGGTTGTGTTTGATCTATAAAAATTTACACATCTGAACTCAATGAATTCTATTCAAGAGATAAACAGTATACTTTGTAGTTTTAGTATATAAAAGTGTTATATATTCTCCTCTCGAAGAAATACATTGTAATCAGAGCCCGTCAGATCTGGTTCCGAAAATTTTGGACCCAAAGGGTTTTAATTGTAGTACTTCAAAATACTAGATAAATAGACCCAAAAAAAAGAGTACAGAGAAATATATAGAAACACGAATATACGAAGGAGTTGTTTACTTTATCGTTGTAGTTCTCGCTGCTTGCATATATTACAAGAATTTGTTTTATGATAAAACTATTGGAAGTGATTTATTACTTTTGAGAATATAGATGTACCTATAGAGAGGATCGGTGGACTAGAATAACTGGAAACATAGGCATTCGCTGCAGAGTTATGAAAGTTTTGTTCGATTTTTATCAAAGAACAGGATATCGACAGTTAAATCAAAGAATTCTCAGGATCATAAGACGTACTTATAGAGAAATTCAAATTAAAAACTTTTTGATGTAACTATCGATATTCTGTTATATGTTAAACAACAAACAAAACTTTCGTAACTCTGTAGACAACGTCCACAGACACAAATCGTTTTGCAGTTATTTTAATTTATCGGTCTTCTCTATGCACTCAAAATATGAGCTCGAAAGTAATGAATCAATTCGAAAGATTTCCTCATTAGTGCCCAAAATTAGTATGATTATGAATCAATCTTTATAATAATTCAGTGTAACTAATAGCTGCATCAGAAACTTTGTGCATAGAGAGAATTCAATTAGACCAAACTCACAAGCTTTGAATAAAGTCTCTTCAAGATATGACACTTTCAAGATATAGATCTTTTTCCATTGATAGTGTGTACAACATGCATTTTTTGAAAGCGTCATATATAGAGAAGACATTGTTTAAAATTTTTGAATTTCTTCAAGAAATCTATTCTAGTTGAGTTCTTTATATACACAAAATTTCAGAGTGAAATTCGATAGTTTAGTCAAATCTCAATAGGAATCGACATCCTTTTAGAATTTTTATCACAACACTCGAGTGTATCTATAAGCAAAAAAACTCATTGAAATCGAAAAGAAATATTTGAGGAGATTTCTTCTTTATTATGAAAACGAAAATTTAACTTTTAAGTTTAATATTAAGGAAATATTTCGTTAGAATTTCATGTAATAAAGAAAAATATGACATACATTCATTTCTGGTAAAACATATACTTCATCAACATCTGTATTATTTATCTCATTATTTTTCCATTGTTCAATTTTTTTTCTAATTGCTTCTTTTTCACATTTTTCTTCACTTGGAATAAGTAAACCATCATCATCATCCATATAACCATAATAATCCGCATCAATATTTTTCATCATTTCACCACGTAGTTTTTTCCCTGGTATAGGTGCTAAAATTTTAATCAATATAATGACAATATTAATAAATATATATGTATATTTATTTCTTACGTTCTTGGTCAAATAATTCTCGTACACCAGGTAAATCTTTTGCAGCACCGAAATATCTTTAAAAATAAAAGAAAGAATTTTATAATGAATAATAAAAATTATTTTTTTTTTCTCTTTTGCTTTACTTATAACCACGATTACCAGGTACTTCTTTTCCTTCATTATCAAGCATTTTTGGTGCTGTTTTTTTAAAATCAACTCCACCAAGTTCTTTAACACGATCTTCCCAATGAGATTTTTCACGTAAAAGTTTATTAATTTCATCATTAAGATCACGAATTTTATATTCACCGAGACCAGCTAAAATAATAATATTAATAAAAAAAAAATTTATTTTATAAATTTATTTCTTTACCATTTTGAATTTGTGCTACTTTTTTTGCTATTTCACGTACAACTTGATATCGCCATTTTTCAGCTCTTTTTACATTTAGTTCTTCACTAGCTAAATGTGGACGACGATCAACACGAAGTTTTCCTTGTTCTTTTAATTGTAATTGACGCCAACGAGCTAATGCTGTCATAGCCTTTTCTGAATTACGAGCCATTTTTTATGATATGGACTTTTTAATAAAAAAAATATCAATAATCTAGTTGAAATTTCGTGTGAAAAAAAGATGGAAAGTGTTGGAACCTATCGTGTATTTCATTGTTCGATTGATATTAAAGAAAATAAACCATTCATTAATAAAATATGTAGATGACGCTAATATATATTGTCTCAAAATATTCGACTTAATATCCGGTTAGATATCATCAGTTTTTATTTTATTAAGTTAGTTTAATTGTTTGAATACCAATATATATATAGAGTTATGTACGTTTTTTAGAGTTTCTTAATTTTTGAATGAATTGCAAATGCAAGAAAAGTATTGACATGTGACGATGTTGTTTTTGTCGACTGATCTAAAACATGCTATGAAATTTGCTTGCAAGTATATAAAAAAACGAACAAAGTGTAAAATCAGCGAAAGCACCTTGAATTCGGGAGAACGTAAAATCTTCTCGACAATATTTAGCCTATGGATATTTTCTCTCTAAATTTTAAAAATTATTCTTTTACATGATTATGACGCACATTAACAACTAAAGATATGGTAACATAGGCGACCGTTGTTTTTTTCACCTTTGTTTCTCTATGTATGTTTCAATAGTGGGTGCTCATTTTCAATGAATTTCATGAATTATGAACTACTTAGTCTACATACTTTGTGTAAATAATTGAAAGATATTTTAGGATATTCGATGAAATTTTTTAGGCGAAAATAGTATTTATTAGCTGAGTTTTGGATTTCCTTTTGGAAGAAGGTCTCAAGCTTCAAAAACGGCGGTCGAATGTAAAATAACTGTATTTCACAAACTATTAAGAGCCAATGCTTGAATTTCATATTGTAGATAAAGAAGAATCAGAGATACATTTTTGTTAAAAGAAAAAGTCTTCATTTGTCCTTGGTGAGAACTTATTATCATTTTCCGGTAAAGGAAATCAAATGTTTCTAACTCACGAACAATTCAGAATAAGAGGCGTAAGTTTGTTGGATGATCAACATTCACTGATAATAATAATTGCATCAATTTCGAAGTCGCTGTCTATCATAATCATTTTCTGTTTTCGTCGCTAGAAATAAGGTTGCTATTATGAAAGTAATGTTCTATAGACAATAAACTGAAGAAATCATCTATCAAAAACAAGAAAATTCATTGTTGACATTTGTGAGTTCAATGTATATTTCGTTTTTCTTTTTGTCTGTTGAGAAGGAGTCATTGTTTTTTTTGGGTAGATATTCTTTTCAGATAACTAAAGCTACCTGTAGAATCAACATTTGCAACGTTACTTGATTTCGACGAAAAAAAGTAGAAATTCATTTTTTGGCGTTTTTAAATAGCATATTTATGAAGTTGCAAAACGTATGTTTCAGGATATGAAATGTTTGCTTTTTTAGATGATAGATATATCATGCGACAGTTAAAAACTAATGTCAGACCACGATAAATAGATTTAAATGATTCATATTCATAATGATATATTTAAGCTGATTTCAGTTTTCGGATTTAAGGGTTGCTTTAAAACCAAAATAACAACCATATGCTTATCAATGTCGATATTTGGATATTTACTTTCGTCAATGGGAAAAAAATCTTGCGACCATCTGTTCATACGAAACGTCTTTTTTTTAAACTTTCCTGACTTTTTTAATAATCTTGAAGCCACCTGTGTTTATTAGTTTCTCTTATTTTCTTTCGATAACAAGAGCTTAGGAGTTCAAAAAAAGCTACATATATAGAGCTCAGTTTGTCTTTTATTTAGATCTTATACATCCATATACCTTTATAATACAATATAATGAATACAAAAAGTATCATTATTTGTACTCTTTTCATGATTTTCTATATAACATTAAGTCAAGGTATAAAACATAAACATGAATGAAATGTAACTTTTAGTCTTATATTCAAAGGTCTTCAATGTTATAAACACGATTATTGTTTTAAAAACTGTCCAGACTTAGAAGAAAGTATAGTTGAATGTGCAGATGAACACAGTCGATGTTGGGTAAATATTTCGAAAATCAATTTGATTTTTTTTGTTATATAAAAATTTATTTTTAGAAAATGACTTCTCCAATGGGCACATTGCGTGGTTGTGGTATGTCTTTGATATTTTTTTAAAAACTATTTCATGTTTGATTTGTTTTCAGGTGATCATAAATGCAAAGTACAACTTGATGTTGGTATTTTTAACACTGCTAATGTCTGTTGTTCAGACAATCTTTGTAATTCATCTATTCAAATTAAACTAACAACAATATCTATTGTTTTTACAAGTTTAATTGCTTTTTTATATACGTTCTATTTTCAATAATAAATATACTGTTGTTTGACATCTATATCTTTGTCTTTATATAGATCATTGTTAAAATAAGATAAATCTCTTTGCAAAAAAAAGGCTTATTCTATCAATTCAGAAGAATTTTTACAATCAATCTTTTATTAAAAGAAGATATTNAGTAGGCAAAGAAAAATTTTAAAACTCTTTGCCATATTTTGATTATATGAGCTGATATTTTTAATAACTGATAAAGGATTGTTCACAGTTCATATTTATAAGAATAGCGTTCTTAAAAGTTGTTTTTAAGTAGTACAGCTGACTTCAACAAAAGACCTAGAACATTTCACGAGTTATGAAAGATCAATAGTGAAGTGTAGCCAACAAATTCTTCCTGTTAATAGCTGAAACTTTAAGAGTGCACTAAATGACAAGATATGTATTTTTAGTATAAATATTAGCGTCAAAGACACTAGTTTGAACAATTAATTGAAAAATTAGGTGTCGTGTATTCTTCCTTAAGGGAAGAAATATATTATGTTTTCATAAATTGTGAATGATTACAGTTCTTTGTTAAAATCAATTGTAAATACTTCAAAACGATTTTTAACAATGTTTCTCTTATGAAAATGAGCTATGAACATTATTTTATCCATGGTAAAAAAATCAGTTCATATAGTCAAAATATGGCGAAGATATTCAAAAAAAAGTATCATTATTTGTACTCTTTTTGTGACTTTCTATATAACATTAAGCCAAGGTATAAAACATAAAAATGAATGAATATGACTTTTAGTCTCATATTTAAAGGTCTTCAATGTTATAAACACGGTTATTGTTTTAAAAACTGTCCAGACTTAGAAGAAAGTATAGTTGAATGTGCAGAAGAACACAGTCGATGTTGGATAAATATTTCGAAAATCAATTTGATTTTTTTTTGTTATATAAAAATTTATTTTTAAAAAATGACTTCTCCAATGGGCACATTGCGTGGTTGTGGTATGTCTTTGATATTTTTTTTTGAAGCACTGTTTCATGTTTGATTTGTTTTGAAGTGATCATAAATCCAAAGTACAATTTTGTTGTTGATATTATTAACACTACTAATGTCTGTTGTTCAGACAATCTTTGTAATTCATCTATTCAAATTAAACTAACAACAATATCTATTGTTTTTACAAGTTTAATTGCTTTTTTATATACGTTCTGTTTTCAATAATAAATATACTGTTGTTTGGCATCTATATCTTTGTCTTTATATAGATCATTGTTAAAATAAGATAAATCTCTTTGCAAAAAAAAGGCTTATTCTATCAATTCAGAAGAATTTTTACAATCAATCTTTTATTAAAAGAAGATATTCCTTGAATCTATTTCATGTATAGAATAATTATACAATGAATAATTGTATTTTAATGAAATGTAAGTGTCTTGTCATAAAAAACATTCGATAAGATTGTTCTCTGCTTACTTTTCAATAGACTATAGCCTCAATTAAAGTAAAGAACAGATATAAAATTATGTTCATCTGTATTATCAACGTCAAGCCTTGAATTTTCTTTAGCTTTTTTGTTTTATTTCGATTATAATATGTTCAATATTCATTCAACATTATTATTCTTTTCCGCCTTATAATAATGGCTTTTATGGAGCGACAAGCAAATACAAAACACTTTACTATTCCTTTTCTTCATTGACAAATTATTAGAAATAATAGGCACCAGACAAAAGGTGAAAAAGAGAAAGAAGAACATCAAGATATATCATCTTCCTCTTTCTTTTCGTGTCTATATTGAGCGACATATAAAAACAAGCGTATAATAATTGTTTGAATATATACATACGCACTAACTGACAACCAAACATACGTTTTTTTATTGTTCAGATTAGAAACATATAAAACATGAAAGCAATCATTATTGTTGTTATTTTACTTCTTAATTATGTTACTCTTATTGAAAGTGAAATTCAATAATCTTTTACTATTTCGCGATAATAAAATATTTTTTCTTTTGTGTAGCACTTCAATGTTATTCTCATGATGTATGCTCAATTAATTGTCCACAGTTGAGTAATACAATAAGATCTTGTACTGGTGGTGATAATAAATGCTACAAAGCTGCATTTTCTGGTGGTATTTCTCGTGGTTGTGCTAAAGAACGATGTAGTGTTCAAGTAAGTTCTCATTTGCTTTTCTCTTTATATCAAACAAATACACTCATTATTTTGTTGAATAGATCAATACTAATTCAGTTCTGGCTAATGTCTGTTGTGAAAAAGATTTGTGTAATTCAGCAATAACATCAAAAATAACATGTAAAATACTCTTTATGATCCTTGGTGCCTTGATTTTGACTCAAATATAAAAAAAAGAAAAGAAACTAGACAATTCACCTTTAATAATATTAGATAATCTTGTTCATTTTGTTTTGGCATACTTTATTCTCTCTTCTTTCTATTAATTTAAATAAACTATGTCTTGTCTTTGTATCTTTCACAAAGATAATAATTATTTTGATGTATAGCTGTTACCAATTGTTCGAGATCAATTTATAGTCTCAAATGAAGCAACATATAGTTTGATATCAGTTGATTTATGCAAATTGCTTTCAGTTTGCTATATGGTAAGTAGCATGTGTGTCATATAGTAAAACATTGTTTTACCCATTATGATTTAAATTTTCAAAAATATCCAGCAGTGTCACATATCCTGCCATTTGGAGAAGTGCTCACATCTCTGCCGGGAGATGCTGCATCTTCAGCAGGAGATGCAGCACCCAATGTGAGGGATGCACATCTCTCAATGAGATGATACATCTCCAACAGCAAATCACCGTATCTCCCGAGTGTGGGTGCCGCGTCTCCTGCGGGAGATGCCGCATCTCCTGTGGGAGAAGTGAGCACTTCTCCAAAATCTTGGATATGTGACACCACTCCAAAGGGCACAAATGCTTTTAGAATTTTCATCTAAATTATAAGTCCAGCTTATGAATGAAATATGGGTTAAAACACAAGATATCAGTTGGATAGGTTACCTTGTAAGGATGAAGTTCATAATCGACAAGAACTTTGCATCTAAGACTAGCAACATAAAATACATATAAGTGAATATAGTTGGCGTAGAAATATCCAATTGTGGGATTTATTCTGTTGAATCTTGACAAAAGAAAGAGAACGTCGAATAAGAAAAGAGTAACAACAGTAGTTTTGTTTTGCATTTTTATCCAGCTAAACTGACACGACACGTCTGATTACAATGACAACTTAGCTACAAGTGCATGTCATACGAAAAGAAAAAAATGTAAAAATCTACCGTTAGATCTGATGATAGTTATCAAGTTCTTCTAGCTGATTGCTAATTTGTAATTGTCTATAGTATGGTTATTTCATATTGTATGTACTGAAGAGAATGATGCTTTTGAATTAATGATAGCAGAGTGTTCAATGAAAAGAAAAATAAGTATTCTTTCGAAATTCATTATATGATGAGAACATACTATTAAAATAAATATAGACAACAGAATACAACAATATTCCTTCTGGTTTTTTATTGTTTATGCCTTATTTTATCACGATTTACTTTTTTTGAAGCACCTTTTAAAAATACTGATGTCGAACGACATTATAGTAGCAATGATAAAAAAACCTAATTGGACAATCGATGCTTATGAAAAATGTTACATACTTTACCTCGAATTATAGAGACTGTTTTTATGAAAGATCCTCATCGATCAATAATGAAACAAGAATTTCCTATACCCCATTTACTAATTGGAAGTGTCTTATTAAAAGACATTATGTCTGAAGTATGTGGCACTGAGATATGTATACCTCGTGGACAACTAGGAAATGTTCATTGCCCAATTATATCAGGTAACATTAGTTATGGACTTATACGGCTGCCATTTGTGGTAACCGACCACTTAAAGAAGGTGATGGGATAGCATTTTCAGATATAGCTGAAACATGTTATTCTCGTTCGTTTATTAAATAAACTACAAGGTGTGCACGTTGTAAACTATACGATATAACGTATAGTTGTAATGATGGATGATTAGTTGGTGGTTAATCACAATATATTCAGATATTGCATGGCACCAAACTATTACATCGTTCAAACAACTAAGATTCTATTGGTTATTGTGGTGATGGATACAGATTGAATACAGCTTTCCATACAGTAGATCACGTAAATGTGCAATTAGGTGAGTTAGCCCAGTATAACAATTATCCGTGTCTTTTGCTTGATAATCTGCTGCTGCTTATGTATTTGCCATGTATTCAAAATCTCATCGTTCAGAATTTACTAGTCGAATGGGAGCTGCACATACGGTTTATTTACGAGTTTATCAAGTTATTCAAAAAAAAATGCACGTGTTAAAAAAACTAACTAACTATCTGATAATAGCAGTAATTTTGATATTTGCTTTTAATGTACTTGAATATAACAAGCTGTGCATTATGGATTATTATATACACGAAATAGTAGTCGCGTAGTTATTACTGGTCAATATGTGAATGATGTAGCATCATCTAAAATAAGCCTTCAAGAAGTAATAAACAAAAAAAATAATCAAGTGAGAGGCTGTTGAGGTTCTTATTTTAGTTATTCTTGTTGAACAAATGAAATACACACAATCAAAATAGCATCATAATATCCGTGGAAACATATGATTGAAAAAATATTTCCGGTATCTCAAGTTAACGAAGTTATCAAAGCTGTTGCACAAAAACAGTTTCTTTTAAAGCAACTATAGCACCAAACGAAACTGATTATTTCTAAACTGTTAAAGACTAAGAAGTATGATTGACTTCTTTACTAAGTGACTTGTTCATCGAATGTTAAAATTGGAAATAATTTTCTCACGGTATGTGTGTGGGCACGGAAAAAATGAAGACTTACATCTACGCTTACACCCGCATGACATACTCACATCGAAATACCGACACTCATCCATACCTGCATTAACTATCTTTAGAGCACAGAAATATACAAAACGATATAGAAGTCGATACGGATATGTAGAAGTACGAAGTAGTTTAAAGAAGCATATATGTATACCTTTTCCGTTAGCCAATCATCATTTGAACCTCCGCTTCTTTAATTAACAAGTGATCCAAGTCTGGGAGAAATTTCATTCACATGAATCAATTCGTTTATGAATCATGGCGATTGAGTTCATGTGCTTGGAAATGATAAAATAAATAAATATTACCAATTAATAAACAAAGATTCATGAATTATTGTAGTTTATGAAAAATTTATACAATTACCCTGAAGTCTCATTTTGAATTATTTGAAGCATTTTCTCAATGTTCGCTTTTATATAAATTACCTGTTAATCAATTATTTCGACTATTTTTTACTCATCAATAATTAACTGATTTCAGCCCAACTTTTTATGATGAATACATCAACTTGATATGTATACACAGTAAAAATTTTAAGCCAAATGGTTATATTTTTGGTGAGTTATGAATGTCACAAAAAATCATCAAAACTGTTCGTTTTTGGTGAGAGTACTTTCAGAAAAATTAAAATATCTTGCGAACGAAACAGTATTTTTTCAAACGGTGTGCATCAAAATTCTTGAAACTCTTTCCTTTACAACATTTCTTAAATTGAGCAAAAGTTGACGATATCGATAGAGTAGCTTCTGTGAGAGTCAATCGTGCTTTATGTGGACTGGCTCTTATAAAAAAAAGTCATTAATCTGTATCTATTTATTAACTACTCTAACGTAATGGTAAAATACCGAAAAGAAAAATGTTTCAGATGTAGATTGTATTGTAATAATAGATAGAGGAATAATAACAACAATCTCATAATACTGATGCATAC